TAATGTGATTAAGATGAAATATTTGAAATAAAATATATTCAAAAGAATACTCAGATTATTTTAGATAATTAAAAGTAGTATGAAGTTTATAAAAATTATCAATTACATTTTAATAAGTCATTTAATTTTTCATAAACTGAGTTTTTTCATTGACTATTTTGATCCAATATTTTAACATGAATTTATCCAACTCTTGAGCTATATTTTTATCGGATATTTTCAAATCAGTGGTAATTATAATTACATACTTCATACATATAAAGCGTATACGTATATTATATATATATATATATATATATATATATATATATATATATTCAAATAAACTGAATAATAAATATTGATTTATTGATGTATGAAATGAAATGAAATGAAAGTTATGTATAATTTAAACCATTTCGAAAATGCAAAAAAATTAACTTTTTAATAAATACGTAAAGCTCGAGTACTATAGTAATGTCGATACGTAATATTACAAATATGTTTGTTCAAGCTAATAATCGTAAATATAATTTAAATTATTACAAATTTGGAAAAACATTAATATGATGTTAATTAGTGGCATTATTGAATCATCAATACCAAAACTCTTGTTGAAAACATATTTCATAACAATCGTAAAATACTTGTACTAAGTTATAATAAGCTTATCATCAATAATTACAAAATTTCAACTTTCATTACCTAATTTTGAATGTTCTGAAATTTTACTCGTACCCATGTATTTCTTCCCCTCCCCCTTTTTTTTTGTTATGATACATTAAAATTATATAAGTAGCCTTTAATAATTATTGGTTACAAAATAATAAATGATGACGAGTAGCTTATTTAAATAACATTCACACATTTTAAAATTTATTGTTTGGCTGTATGCTTAATAATATTAGGACTGTGGTATTTTCAGGATTTTGCATATTAGATAAAAATAATTATTTTAATTGAAAATTCGATGATGAAATATGCATTAAAATTTTCTTTAATGCAGAGGGTCTTAAATTTTGTTTGTAAATAATTTCATAAACGCACAACGCACAATAATAAAAAATCAATACTTTTCAATATAATTTAATGTAATGTAGTTAATGAGTTATATATATATATATATATATATATATATATATATTTAATTAAAACCACCATAAATCGTTTAAACATATATCGAGTTTATTACTATAGCATGTATGAATTCGTGACCAATCACTGTGAAAAAAAAACATATGTAATAAATGTAATGAATATTATGCTTTAAATAACCCATAAAATTTCGTATTCTTCGTTTTCTATTATATGTCAGTTAATATAATAGTTCCCAACAATAATTGAATTATCTGAATTTTAATAATGAAATCGCTTAAAATATGACAATGGCCTGAAAACTGAAAGGGAATCATCACTGTACTACTTATACTGTTGTATAATTTTAATATATTTTCTAAACAATATCAATGATATTCACATATTCAAAATACTTTAAGACTTCAATACACATACATAACAATATCCTATGTACTCATTATTCATATAATCGCTTACAAAAATTATCTTACAAGAGCAACATCCAGAACAACCAATTATGTTCTTTTAAGCAACAAAATTTTTCATTGGTAAAGTATTATTGTACAGCTCAGATTTAAAAATAATATCCCAGACAGCCTTTAGTTGTTTCATATGGTGTAGGTTCGAAAATTTGCTGTCTGAAGAACTTAGAAATTTATCTGGGCTGCTTTATAATAAAAATGAGTTTCAAGTAACAGATTTAAATAGTATTTAGATAATATTTTAAATTCCTGCATACTTAATTATTGTTCCTGTATAAAAAAATTAATCAATTAAGCGCATTAAAAGCCATAGTCAAATAATGACTATTCACATAAATCTATATACATGTATATATATATAGGAGGTTCAGAAGTAGGTTCATTGTTTTTATTGACACAATTGTCATTATACCATTATAAATAATAAGCTGATAACTTGGATATTTTAATAGTTGTCACACACATTTTCAGAACCCACCCAAAAGTGTAAAGGATTATTATATAATTTGAAAATTTTCACGTTCTACTCACCTCGAATGGTTCATTGCTAAGAGGTTTCAAGAAAGTAAGTCATATTCTTGTTAATGTTGTCTGTCTCTCCTCCATAAAATTGTTTCTTTTCTCGAGCTCTAATATTTGGTAGAAGTGCATTATATGCACAATTAATCTCCTAATTATATCAGCAGTTGTTGCAATAAGAGCTAGGTGATAGCTTATTTTGGTCCAATAAGCTTTTACCGTGACATTTTTTTTTTTTTTTTTTTTTCAATAACAAAGCATCTCAGGTACAAATTTTATTTATTTAAAAAATGTTAATAAATAAAACTTTATTAAAAAAAAATAATAATAATAATAAAAAATAGAAGAATTATAAGAAAGATAGATGCATATCATAATTACAATGATATATGTATAAAAGAAATAAATATTTACAAAATTAAATGAATAGGAAAATAAAGATAAATTATTTCATACTTTGAAGAAGAAACTAGTAAATAAATACACACAATGAGTTTTCAAATATAATACGTACGAAATGAAATATTAATTACAGAAATTGAAAATAATTCAAAAGGGCGGTTTACTTACACTTTCATCGACAATTATGATTTATTATAAAAGTACCAAATTTATCAAATTCCATTGAATAAAAATGTATGTATTCCCATCCCAGAAAATCATTAAATAAATGATTTTATGAATACAACATGTTACTGTACGGAAAATAACGGATCGAATTAGTTCCGATATTACAATGAAATAATATTAACAAATAAAAATAAAAAATTTTTTTTTATATATATATATAAAATTCACAATTGAATATTGATTAATAAATTTTAAATATTGATATTTAACATTTTAATTACCCTTTAATAATGTACAAATTATATTTATTTACTTATATATATACTGAATGCATAATAATAACAATAAACTTTTATATAAGTATATTTAATATTCTTTTTCTTTTTCCGTATTTTGATAATCGCTTGGGATTCTAATAAAGCTGAAAATAATAACAATTAGTTGTATAAAAGTAAAAAAACATAAAAAAAAATTATCCACAGTATTTACGAACCTAGGATATGACTTTTACATATTATTAGCAATTCCAATTTAAGAGTCTGAAAAAATCTCACGTGTACGAGAAATTCTAAATAAAATTTCATGAGGCATTTGATTTTCATTCTTTCTGCTCGAGCTCACGAATACTCGTAGTTTTTCTTTATACACGTCGAAATTTTATTTATACTCTCGAACTAGAGATATCGCATAAAATATGCAAAAATATATTTTTGGTCAATTAATATGGCCGATAATTTTCAATTAAATTTTTAAACAATTGTCGGAAAAAAATATATCAACAAAAAAAAAAAAGATATCGTTTTCTAGTTTTTAGGGCACATTTATTGCTAACTATTACAAAATAATAATTTCAAGCATATGTAATTAAACTATATTTAATTCATTAGTAAAAATTAATTCTCTAGAGTTCAAATTAATATTCATAAAATTATGTAAAAAAATATTTTTACCAAAAAACATCATAAGTTATAAATTGTTTGATTTAGTAAATAAACTTACGTATTATAAGACAAAAAGAATATATATATATATATATATATATATATATATATATATATATATATATAAAATCTATATTATAACTAATTATACTTAATTATTTTGTTTAAAAAATGTTTGTAATATTGACTATAAAAAGACAAATATTATTGCGTACATTAATACTATTCTAATGAGATAAAATTGTAATATAAATAATTAAAATTGGCGCGGATCGTAATATTGCTGCCTGATTAAGTTACAATTAAAAAAAAAAACATTTTTTGTTTTATTACACATATATTTATTCAAGAATTGCATTGTTAATAAATATAAATGTCTCTTGATCATTCTTTTTTGAAAAGTCGCTGTAATACTTGTTCGGAAGTTTTCAAATTTACAGCAATAAAACGAATATATAAAGATAATAAAATATGAATAATTATCATAATAAAGTTTTCGAAGAATTCATTATATTCGCTACAGTTTATTTATGGAGTACTGTAATTAAGATTAACTTCCTATTTTGATTTTTCAATCCGAGCATTTCAGTAATAATTCAGTTACATCTTAAAATAATAGAGTCCAATTCAATAATTACAATCAATACTTACTTCATTTTTATATAATGCAGTCTATTCATAAAATTAAAAATATTTCCATTCGGTCCTATATAATTAATTAGTTCCTTAATCGATATAAAATACAACATACTCCAAGAACTCAACAAGTGTACGTTTTAACATCAATTGATGTTATGCAACTTCTAGCTTTAGACAAATACTAACACATTTCGAGTGAAGGGCGATGGGAAGATCTTTAGTGGCTAACAAAACAATATAACACTATAAAACTACTACATCTCAAAAATTAGATGAAAAGAGTCTTGTTTAAATTTTGTTTTCCTACAAACGCTAATCAAGAAATGTAGGACTTTAGTATTAATGAGCAATGTAATATTACTGAATTCAATTTACATTTGTTCATGCGAACAGCATTGATTGAAATCACCAAATCATAATTCTAAAATTATCGTTACACTGAATTGTCATCGAAGATCTTGGATCGAAAATTACGAATACTTAAAATATCTTAAATCGCTTCTTAAGAACCTTACGCTACATACTTGAAAAGGTTAGATGCTCATCGTATGAAACCTATTAAAAATTCTTTCATACAAGCCCTTTCTCTCTCTCTCTCTCGAACGTCCTCGCAATATCAGTTTGTCTTATTATCAAAGCCAATGCGCAGCCTTGGCCATTCGAAATTATCATTAAAACGACCCTTTTAGACGACATTAAAGCAGTTTCTTACAATGCACAATCTCCCCCCCCCCCATACGCATATTCCGCTTAGTTGTTCTCCTCGCCGCAGTCCGTAGACGCTCATCAAGGTAATATCGTCAGAGATTTGAGTGAAGCGAACGGCGAAGGATTAACGTCCGTCCCGTTGCGCTCGGTTAGATTATTTATTAATTATATTCTTGCATCCTCGAGCTACAAGGAGCAGACTAAACCAAGCGGAGAATACGCAGGGTACCGCCAACCTTTGTATAAGAAACTATTTTGTATGCACGCTAGAAGCGAGGATCGTTCCTATGAGGATTTAGAGTTGCCAACGCCACCAATCGCATTAAAAAAAAAAGACCTCTAGATAATGATTGAATAATTATGAAATAAGAATAATTAAAAGAACGATAATAAATTTACGTCTTAAATTCCTTAACAATTATTCGATAACTAAATAATTGCCCAATTACTGAATTATCCGTATGCTTATCTTTTAATTATTCTTCGGCTTCAATTATTAATGCTTTTTTTTTCGTTTGTTTGTTTGTTTGTTGTTGTTTTTTTTTTGTTTTGTTTATATTTAGTAACGCCTCCTCTTGTTGGGGAAGTCGTCGGGCCGCTGACGATCGTTGCCGCCTTGCCAACGACCGCCGCCGCCACCTGCGCCGCCCCGATTGGTGCCCATATTGCCCATATCCACCCTCATGTCCATCAGATCCATTATCTGGCCACGATCGTCATTGTAACCCCCGCGATTGTTGCGTTCCATATTGTTATATTGGTCCATGAAGGACTTTGGATCCTAAGTATGCGTCAATACGCGCACGCGTTACGGTTTATTTATTTATATATATTATATATTATTTATATATTATATTATATCAATGATATCAATAAGTTTATTTTGTAGCACAAACGAGTATCGTTTTTGTGTGTTTAAATAATGTTTTAAACGGTACACAGACATAGAGGGGGCGACCATCCATTGTTCAACAGCAGCAGACAGGTCATCGTCAATTTTCGTCATATCACATAGAAAAAAAGAAAGGGGAAAAAATACAATGTTAGCATTTTGTTTTTTAAATAACTAGTAAGTGATGAAAACATTTGTTTGTTTTTTTTTTCTTTACACTGCACAGGGATCGGCAAGTTGTTCAAATATGTGTAAAATAATTTTTTCTTTGTTCAATTCTAAATAAATAATATTTTCAGAATAGCTGGCTCGTAGATGTGAGAACGAAGCAATATAGAGTTTATCGAATTAACGATACTAAAATTGACTTTTATTAAACGATAACTTTGCTCGTCTTTTATCTTTTATCTTTTTTGTTTCATTTCTACTTTTCATTACCATTTAATCCTTAAGCTACAATAAATTTGCCATTGTCAATAATTGTATCATTTACCCGAATATTTTGTATTGAATACACATTAATAAATACAAAGAGTCTCAATATCTTTAAATACAGGTATTTTCATAACTAAATAGGTAAATATTCGAAAATCGTATTTAAATTAAAGCGTTTAAATAAAGCCAAATTAAAAATGAATCATTAGATGAATAAATAAATATATAGAATATATTTATAAAACTGTTACAGCACTTATGATATAAAGCATGTAGCTTAAATTGAACAATACAAAGTATTATTCTATGCTGATATTCTAAAAATTTCGTTACAGTCGATCGATAAAATCTCATAATGTAATTGCTTATCTATTTTTAATGCAACCAAATTTTGAACCAATTATTTACAATAATCAAGAATATACCACATATTCAATTTAATGAATATACAATATTTATTTTTAATTACTATTTCAACCTAATTGTTCATTAATTAATTTCTAGATATAGTCAAAGAGAATATTAAGCAACCCTACATAGATAATTTCGAAAACTATAGTATATATATATGTACATACATATATGCATATATATAATGTTCAAGGCTTCGGAACGTATAAAATCATTCATTTTTATCTAATGTCAAGAAGATTATGTGATAAAAGATCAACAAAAAAAACAATGACAAAAAAAAATGTAATCAGTTTCCAAATTCTTAGTCTAGCTCGAATATCTTTATAATTAAAAAAAAACTATACTTTTGTGAAAATTTTTGAAAGAATAATAGTTTTTGTGAATGTTGTTATTTATATATATATATATATTTTTTTTTAAATACTACTTGTTTTTTTTACTTTTATGCTTTGGAAAATAATATTTTCTAGTTAAACATAAGTTTTTCAGTTATAATTGAAAATATCAAAAATATTATTTCGAATTTATAAAGAGTAATATCGTTTTATTACACATTGAAACTTATTCTCAGTTAAAAAAAAATTTTTTTTTTTTTATTTTCATATTATAAACTTCCAAAGACTAAATATTTTTCAATATACATTAAGAACAATTAAATATTTATCTATTGTAATATAATGAAAGACAGTCAGAAAGTAACGTACATAATTATAAAAGTACAGAAATTTTAAATACTCCACGCACGCACGCACGCACGCACGCACGTACGCACACACACACACACAAACATGCGCACCACGCAGGCACAAACGTATGTATGCATACGTATACACGTGAATAGATGCATGCTTGACAAATATAAATGATTTATTGTGATGAAAATTTGTAAATAATAAAATTCATAAAAATGGTCCATTTATATTGAGAATTAAATACCATTTTATGTTTTTAAAACGTCATAATTTGTTGATCTTCTAATTCATGATAATTTCTTATCGTAGAAAGCTATATAATTAATGAATTAATAATAATTGAAAGATATTAAGTTATTGATTAATATATATTTCATGGCATGTTATTACGTATAAAATTCATTTAGTTTTCTTTTTTCGTTTTTTTTTTTTCATACTTATATTTAGTTTTGCTATTATTCAACTCCGAATTATAACATACGATTGTACGACAGAATAATCACACAATCAATTAATTTAATAATATAATTGATTTTATTTTTAAATGCTATATTTATTTGTACTTTACACATTTTACGTTAAAATCCTTTAACATTTAACTAAACTTTGAACAATTGACATTTGTGTTCGGTATGGACCTTCGTAAACGTTATCTTTAAATACTAAATTCAAATACAGCAGTATATTTAAATACATCTGTATTTAAAAATATTTTCAAATACAAAAATAATTGCCGTTTTGTACTTGATGTGCAATAAATCGGTCTTGCCGATCCCTAAAATATACAAACAAAACATACGAGTCACATAGTAACAACTGTTACAGCATATGTTACAGTCCTACCCGAAGTCAGATTATTCAGCAGACCAAGTGAATGCCCAACTAAGATAGACTGAGTAAGTTTTTTTATTTTGTTTTTTCCAAAGAGATTCTAGTCCCTCGATAGATTCTCTTTTTTTCTTTTAAGTAATTGTGTTGCGTTTAAGCAAGTCTATAAGTCAAATTAATTTTTGTTAGATAATAGTAGTCAGGTTAGTAAACCATATTGCAGTACATAAAGCCTCCACGAAAAGATATATAAGCTATTTTTTTTTTTTTTTTTTTTTGGCACACCAATTTATTCTGGTGACACTTATAGAATGAATGGCTATGCTGCTGATTTAATTTGGCTAATTCCTTTATGCTCGAAGTCTCAACAAAATATACAGTAATCTTCAATTTTTCATAAAAAAAAATTACACAAACATGTGTGAAAATAACTGAATGATATATAATCTTTCGGAGCATAAAAGAATTACATCGCATTTCGTTTTGAGGAATTATTTGTTATTAATTAATCAACTTTCACTGATCCCCAGGACATAATGCATAAGGTACTTTAAAATAAATTAAAGTGATATAAAAGTTACTCAACTATAATTAATTAAAAAACGTAAAGATATTCGTGACACAAGAGCCATCACATCTTAATATTCCCATCCATACAGTAAATTTTCGTTTTCAGAATTTAAGTAACAGATTCTGCTAATCAAATAACGATCAGTTCTTAAAATGTTTTTGCAGTCTGAAAAGGTGGATTGAGTAATAGTGAGTTGCACGATCGCAGTCCCAAAACAAATTTTGCACACATTCCAACAATTTAATATTGATTATCATTTTATTAGCAGTAGAATGATTATTAAGGAAACTAATACGAATGTTTATGATAAAATTTAAACTAAGATTTGATTAATTATTTATTAATTATAAAAAACTTAAAATAATAAGCATAGATTACAAATTACTATAGGATTTGCAGAGATTGAGGTTTTAATTATAGTAGATTATCGTTTAATTTTTTATTGACTATTAACAGTCAATTGCTTAATTATCGTAATATTAGTAGATTTTGCCTGCAAAAATTACTCAATGTGTGAAGATAAAATTAGTGACCATTAATTCGTAATTTTGGCACACTTTATGTGCAGTTGGGCATTTCTTGGTCTGTCAAAGTTTTATGGAACTACAAGTCTAAAAGTGGATAAAAGTCTAAAAATACGTACAATAACACTTTTTCAATGGACTTTGTACAATGTCATTATAGAAATAATAAGTGATACTCTTAAATATAGACAATGAAATAAACAAAATAAAAAAAAATTCCACTTCTAGATGTACAATTCATTTAATTTGTTTAGATTTTAATTTACTAGGTACACAGTAGTTCCATATATAATTTTAAGATTATTATTTAATACATAACGATATTTTTATACAGAATTTTTAGTCTGCAAGCACGTGGAGAAATCAAGTGAAACACAGAAATAATATTAATAGTAAAGCAAGTTTACTTGCAATAAGATACGTATCAGCATCTTCTAGAACTGATATTCATAATAAATAGTGAAGTTTGTACTGAGAAGTAGAAAAACTATATTTACAAATATTCTCCTACAAAATACGAAATACCATTTCGTATTCTAGCAATATTTAGAGATATATTTTTGTTGCTAATTTTATATAAAATTATTAACCCTTTGAAGTTTTTTTTGTTTTATTTTGTCTTAAAATATACTTTATAATATCTACTCGTTTTGTGTACACTAAAATAGGCTCATTACAATTGAAACTTCTAATCTGATGATACATAATATAACTTTGTTAGCTAATGATATTAAACTGAATGTTTACATAAATAAATATAAGCTACCTCCAAAGGGTTAAGAATAATAACTATTTTAGTTCATAAATTAAAAACCTACCTAAAATTTGTATTCAAAGTTAAATTTCATTTCTAATCCCAAATTGGTTATTCAATTTGTATAGTTAATTAATAATTGTATAAGTTATGGTTTTTTTTAAAATTTTTTTTTTATTTTTTATTTTTTCAATAGAATAATGTACCTACGAGTTTCTGTTTTCTTTTCTTTTTACCTATCAAGATTATATAAATAATAAATTTTTATTTGTATCACTCCAAAATCTCCAACTTATTTTAACCAACATAACATATGAATGGGAATTTGATTAAAGCTGTTAGTGCTCATTAATTCCTCCATGTGTTTCAATTTTACATAATTTCACAAATTACAGTAAGCAATTAGCATATCATTTAAATAAAACTCGACTTCATATATCATTTAGAAAAATTAACAGACATCGAAATTCTGTATTTAAAGACATACTGTTTAGAAACTATTTCAAAACATTTCATGGAACGTGTATTGTAAAAGATTATTTAAAAAAAAAATCATGCATAAAAAATTGCGAAATATTGCTTTTCTATATTCTTCCCGGAGTTTATAAAATGCTCCAGTGGTTTATTGTTTGATAAATAATTCAGAATGTAAAATAATTTTTTTTATAAATGAAAGAAAGTAAAGTGAGGATAAGGAAAACAACAGCTTTCAATATAAGAATAACGAATGTAAAGAAATCAAAATGAATACATTACCACTGGCAAATTGTTTCCTGCTGTAAAGAAAAATAATAATTATTTCACCAATTACGTTGTATAAAAATTAATTTATATAAAAATTCTTTAAATATTTGTTTATATTATATGTACCTTCCACTGAAGGGTAACCATCGCGTTCAGATGGAATGCCATCGAAGTTTTTGGCAGCACCACCTCCGCCTCCTCCGGCACCTCCGCCGCCACCGCCGCGCATCGCTTGCTCCTAATGATAAAATTAGAGAATAACAAAATTATACTTTACAATCATTATAATTATTTTCAAAATGGTGAGGTATATCAAGTAAACTGGATATTTCTATTAAGTTATGATAATTTTATGTAACGCACCTGCATGAACAGATTATTTTCCTGCTGTCTTCTATGAAGTTCTTCTTCTTGCCGCCTAATTCGTAAAGCCATTTCCTCCTGCTGCCGTCTTCGAAGTTCTTCCTCGCGAGTTCTTTGTTCCTCCGCTTGCCTTTCTTTCATTTCCCACTCGCGCTTTTGTCTCTCGCGGTCGGCCTCGCGTATTCGAAGCTCTGAATTATAAAAAAAAACTTACATTATAATATAATTAATTAGCTCAGAAATTCGTGTCGAGTATTGTAAGAAAACTTTATATAAGTGTAATATAAAATATTACAAAATAAGAGATAGTAATAAATTATATTAACACATTATACAAATTTTGAAAAATAATTAATTAGATATCCGAACTTACGTTCTCTAAGGAGTTCTGTCTCATGCTCGTATCTAGCAAATTCCATTTGGGCCTCCAGTTTCTCCTCTTCCATAGACATCTCTCTTTTTAATGCCTCTTCCTTTTGTTTATACAACTCGTGTAATTGCTTCCACCTCGTCCCATATTCATGTTCAAAGCTCCCGATAGAAGCGAAGCGTGGACCAACTTCGCGTGCTTTATAAAAATCGGCGTTCTTTTTAGGAAGATTCTTATCGGGATAGCCGTCAATATCATCATTTTGTTCGAAAGGTTCTACAACAACGGGACGAAGTGATCTGTAAATAGAAATTCAATGTAATATTATTATTATTGTTATTGTCGATTGAAAATATGAAAAAAAAAAAAAAAAAAAAAAAAAAATTAAAAACTGGTAAATATAATATATATATATATATTATTTGTATCCTAATCTTTCGGCACATGATAAGGTATTATAATACCAAACCATGCTTCCTAGCTGGATATCTATTTAATTTTCCCCATAAGAAATTTCAATCTATGGCACTTGTAGATCAAAGTTAATCAAACAAGCGTGGCGTTGGGGTATTTATGAAAAAATTTTTTGAATCTTGCCATTTCATATTTAAAAGAAAAAAACTTACGCAGTAAGAAAATAACAGCCCTCCGTGCATTTTCGTAAAGCCATCTGTGCAGACGGTTTCCTCGAATACTCTACAATTCCTTCACCAGTTGACTTTCCTCTCTCATCCACAATCACAACTGCACGCTCAATTTCTCCAAAGACACCAAAGGCATGAGAAAGTAGTTCGTTAGATATCCAAGGCGTTAAATTTTTAACTTTGATTATTGATGAGTGAGGTGCAAAACGCACTTTAAGCACTCGACCTTTCCTAACAGTACCATCCAGTTCACGTTTAGCTTTTTCAGCGTTTGCATGAAAATCCTGAACAAAAATAAGCCTTACTAATAAGATAACGTATAAAAAATAAAAAGATGATGAAATTTAATGAAAAAATAAAATCATTTTAAAAAAAATGCAGCCATATAGTACTATCATTATTATCAAACGGTAATTGTTGTAATCATTTTAACTTGATATTTATAAAGAATGCATAAAGAGTCAATTTACTTTCTTACCAATCTTAAGAAGGCAAAGTTCTTTTCCTTGTTGATAAATAGTTCAGAGGTTTCGCCATATGAATTGAACATCTGTTGAATTTCTTCTTCCGAGATGTCGTTGGTTAAGTTTCCAACATACAAACGATTTCTACCGCTGAACTTTTTTTCTTCGATGTCTTGCGGTGGTAATTCATGAGTTGGTCCAGAAATAGACATAATACGTTCCATTAATCTGTCATCTTGCGATCTGTTTTGCATTCCACTTCTATCTTGACCAGTATGTCCTCCGTGTCCTCCATGACCACCGCCGTGTCCGCCATGGCCCCCATGACCACCGCCATGTGCTCCACCACCACCGCGACCACCTCCGCGTCCACCACGACCTCTGTTCATTATTCCTCCACCTCCTCCACCCCCACGATTCATCATACCATCGTCCATTGAATTCTCAAGCATTGACTTAATCTATAAATAAAAAATTATAATTACCAGTGACAATTACAATTAATTATCCACTTAAAAATGCATAGAAGCTACAAATTGTTCATTTAGTTTTTTATATATACATTATTTTTAAAAACAATTACAGCGACATAAAATTATAATTATGTTGGCGAGATAATGATTTTTTTCGATTACTTTATATATTTTTACCCATTTTAATCAATAATTATAGATAATCTCCATTTAAGAATTAATTTTATGTATTTAAAAGCTAATCGCTTCTAGAAAAAACTAGTGAAATTATTATTTTTCTTTAGAAAAATTTACATTCCATAATTGTTTAAAGTTACTCAACATGTTTGATATAAATTGCAGACAACTTACTAGTTAATCTAAAATATATGTATCGTAATTAAATATTTGTTTAATTATTAAAGAAAGAAAGAAAAAGAAAATCTAATTTTCATCAATTCATAAATAATTGACTTACAACGTATGTGTGTATGTAAATTTAATGTAATGGAAAATTTAAATAAATTATATGAATCTATGCATGTGTGTATATATATTTTTTAAATATTACGTTGAATAATAATTTTACAATTTTTCCATATTTTGACACTTTTTTCCGTATCTATTTCGATGACTCAGTGAACAAATGCTATATAATTGAAACGTATTAAAGTCAAATTCCCATGAAAATCATTGGATTATAATTTTTTTTTACTTTTGGGGAAAATTTAATCATAAAACAATAAAAAACGATTGCATATAATCGGTGCCATTCTCAACATTCAAACGAAATTTTCAAAGGAGCTGTGATCTTTGAAACGCGAACGAAGCGACGCCATATTGCTCACACGTATCGACGGGAGGATAAGCCACCGGCTTTAATTCGGCAGCCATTTTCGTTTCTTGCACGAGAGTGAAAATCGATATCTGCTTACGCGCGGTCAGATGCTCAAGAACAAGAAAAGAAAGGAAAAATGAAAAGAATAAGAAATCGAACGAACCGAACATTACAGCGAACATTCGCACTCGCGCTTCTCAATATTAAATTTAAATTTAATTTAATTCTTCTAATTCTCGCGCTATACTGGAAAGTCGAGAAATTATCATGAAACGAGGGGCAGCCATTATTGATTCATAAATTCCACATACTTTATGTGACGTATTTTTCACGCCATTACGGCCGATTATTTATAGGTGCACTCCTCTCCTTAAGCGAAAAATTTTCAAGATTATAACAATTATAAGGATAGCGATATTCTATTACCCTCCTCCACGCCTCACCCACGCGGCGCCATCGCCATACCATGGACATTCGCTCGACAATTTTCATTAGCCATCATTGGCCTAACGCGCGATTAATCCAACATCTCAAATATCCGACCAAATTTCCACATTTTCTTATTATAAAATATGACTCACATTCTCTCTCTCTCTCTCTCTCTCTCTCTCTCTCTCTCTCTCTCTCTGTGTACCTATCTACCTACCTACCCAAATAACTCGACAAATACACTCTCAATCAAACTCCCTCATTGGCTTGTCCAACAGCCCGCAAAGTACAACGAATAATGGCTCGGTTCAGTCAAATAATAATCCGTCGATCCCATCCAACATCATTGACCGCCTTACTTACTCTCCCAACTCCCTACGCGTCGTCGCCACGTTCTCGCTGATCGCACCCCAAGGCTATTAAAAATTAATAGTCGCGTCGCCATGTGCTGACTGGCTCGAGTCCAGCCGCCGCCGCCGCCGCCGCCGCGTCTCGCGTCTTTCCTCGACCTTCCCAAGCTCCCCGCGCACGACGGGGAGTTCGTCGAGATTATCACGGCCGAGGCAACGGTCATTCCACTCCTCCTTACCTGCATGTCGTTCATCATGCCGCCGCCCATTCCAGGGCCGACCTGGTTGCCTCCGGGTCCACCGCGGCCTCCTTGGTTACCGCCGCCGCCCCGTCCACCCGAGAACCTCGAACCGCCCTTGCGATCGCCGCGGCCGCCCCCGCCGCCGCTACCACCGCCACCGCTGCCGCCACCGCCGCTGCCACCACGTCCACCGCGTCCTCCACGGCCGCCTCCAGGACCGCCGGGTCCACTTCCGCCTCCGCCGCCACCGCCACTGCCGCCGCTGCCTCCACCACCGCCGCTGGAGTTGATCTCGTTCTTACTGTCCTGCTGAGCGTCTTGGGGCTCTGGCTTAACGTTCACGGCTTCTTCGCCCATTGTGCTTTTGCGTCTTCTCTTCTTCGAAAACTTGCTACTGATATTAAATCAGTACCGACGACCCAACCGCGATATTATCGATGCGTGTTCTCTCTCTCTCTCTCTCTCTTTCGTCGCGCGGACCTCGCAATGCGGCGTAGAAACGAAAATGCCGCGCTGCGTCCCAGGCCCTCGAGGTCCGTCCTCAACGACGTTCCTGCTCCAAGAGAGGAAGAAGTCCCGATGCCGCTCAACGTCTACGCAAATGACGGAAACGCTTCGACCCCCACTTTCGGCCCCCACAAGCGATTCTTCACACGCGCGCGCGCGCGCGCCAACGCCGCAGCTTAGCGTCTCCTCATAATTGACATATCCGACCCACCGACTTTACCGTCACATAACCATCTTTTCTCACCGTTAACCTGACCGTTCTCCCGGATCCTATTGCCACATTTTCACGATTTTTGCCTACGAATAACGCACTCTTTGAGCTTTTTTTTCTCACCCAGTCGTTGGCGCTTATAGTCGATTCATTAGGATAATGTTAATAAGCGATCGAAGGGAAGGCGAAGATTTTCGCTCGACGCATGCTTATTATGATTACAAGCCTTCGCGCAAGCGACCCTCGTTACCTTCTAATACGGCTGCTGCCCCAATTCTACGAGTATTATTAGCATTTTTAAAGCAACAGCTTCAAATACATTTTTACAAACTTTCTCGCAACGAGAGAAATTCTTCAAAATCCACATTAATTAACAGTCATAAATAAGAGGTAGAATAAGTAACGCATGATGGCAGATTTAACGATGCTTGCTTCAATAAAATATTATCCAGCCTTAGGTCAAACGTACCCACGACAATAATTAAATAATACGCAAATATTAAATAAAAGTTTATTTTATTGTAAACTATCGCGATTAAACAAACGTTTATTTATTTACGTATTCTCAGCCGTTGAGTATTATTTATTGTTTGAAAAGTGACACGGCGATTACCGTAAGTCGTATATGTAAATTTACCGGTCATATCCCGTTACGGTTTGCCCCTCATAATCGGAATATTCCAATGTACGTTACAATTTGACTGGTTTGAGACGTTCGAGGCAACGGATTGGCCGAAGCTTAGGCTGACATTGTTGCCAGATCGGCAGCGTCGCAGAAGCGGCGAATACAAATGTGAAATTGGAGAAAGCGAAAGGTTTCGTCGAGAAATCGATGCTTTATGAAGTATGAATTATTGTCCCTCTTGTCCTTTTTACATAAAATGTTTATTACAAAATTAAACCATATCTTCGCAACTTACTCAATACCGGTTTCCAAATATAAATTATAAAAATAATTATAGGGAACGAAAAGGAAAAGCCAAGTATTTTAATGTAGACTTAATACAAAAACATTATTATTATAATTGTCAGTTTTAATATTATAAAGCACATTAAATCGAAACTCAGCGACAATTTTTCACAATCACTAAAAACAAAAGAATACTTTTTTCTCATTACAATGCTAATTTACGAAAAGAAATAATGACAATTATTATTAGCAAAAGAAATTTTGTATTGAATAAAATTGCCGATATATTCGTCAAATTTTTAAATAATAATAATTTTTAATTCATTCTTTATCACAATATTTTTAAAACGTTTTAATTAGGAAAATATCAATAAAGATTTTTTTTAATTATAATAATATCCTATGAACGCACATGGATTTAAGATATCGTTTAATATCCACATTTTCCTTCCATTTCACAGAAAAACTGCAATTGTATGATAATGTGAAAGCGCAGTTAAAGATATATTAGTTACATCAAATGGGTATTTTTTTTTATATAAAATTTCGAAATGCCACAAACAATTTATGAGGAAATTTTCAATCCTTACTAATACTAAAATTATCTACCTGGATATTTTTTGGTCGATATTAGAAATATATTACACAATTGTTTAAATTACAAATATGTTTATTAAATGTATATTTATATTTTATTCATAATCATATTTGTGTGGACTCGTGCATGCATACGCATACATTTACACAATGTCACATAGATTATGTTTCAAATTTTCATTTCACATGCCCAGAAATGATATTCAAATATTCAAAGGTCTTTTAATTAAAAAGTTTCTAAAATGTTTAACAGGTAAACATCGAAATGGTTCACTAATTTATTTTGACATATTTATAATCATGTTATCATATATTTGTTCATTTATTCTACAGTATATTACTCGATAGCATACTTTAATTATAAAATTTATAGAGTTTTAACGTGTAGAGTGATTATTGCAATTATTCATTTTACAACTCGATAGAATTTATATTAAAGATTTATTAATAATAATTATGGTTGAATGTCTATAAGGTTTCCATGGAATTAATCTTGTCATTGAGTGTGCGAATGAACATACCTTATCCCTTATGTTATTCTAATGAAATTATTAATTTCTATGTGATCACAAGATTTTCATTAATATGTATCATTAAAGATAAGCGGTCGAGTAATGACATCGCAAAAACCTAAAAAATCAATTTTTCAAAAAGAAACAAAAATCAGGCTTCTTTAGATTATGAAATATTTTTAATTGATTGAAACAAATCTTTTTTTTTTTTTTTTTTTGTTCCAGTGCCTTACACAATAAAATTTTACTAATTTTTAAATATTAATATTAATAATACTAATTATATTCTTAAAAATTAGAAATGGTTTAAGCCTTATTCTTTAATAGTGTAGGACGACGGTTTCTTTATGACGATTGCTGTCATTAAAGTGAGAGGATAATCGACAATCAAACCGATAATGACTGGGACATTGTTGTTTAGAAAATTAGGGACAAAAGAGGGGGATGGAGACATTTCTTTACTATATAAATGCTAAGGCTCAAAAGCTAATTGTATACACTTGGTCTGTTCGTACAATTTCCAGCATAAACAACTTACAACTCCAAAAAATGGTATTGAGTACTTCATCAAGGATGGGATGGCTATTTGCCGTAAGTAGATGCCATAATTAATCGATAAATCATTAATGCATAAGATTACCGTAATTTTTACATTAAAATTAGAGAGCTAGAAATTTACTAAATAAAGAGGCTTGTATACGAAAAGTTCTAAATGGTTAGGAATAATGAAGGATTAATATTTTAATTTCTGTATAAACATTAGGAATTGATTCCTTTTTATAAGTTAGCTATGTAAGAATATTTATATCGTATTGATATAGATAATCGAGGGAACGTCAGATTTGACATTTCAGGTGGAACAATTTCCAAATGATTTCCAGAAAGAATACCAAAGCATCGAACTAAATAGTAATAATTATTAAGTAATAATTATTAATTTAGTGTAATTTAGTCATCAGTGTACATTTTTTTGTAATCATTGTAAGTATAAAAATTAATCGATATCCATTTTCATGTATGTGAACTTTTTACAAATTCACATATGAAAATTATATCCGAATATATATAATACCCAAACCCATATCATTATTATTTTATATAACAATACGGCATTAACTGAAAAACAAATTACTATTATACAATTGTACAGACCAAGACTTTAATGGATTTAAATGAATATTAAGAAATATTAATTTTATAAAAAAAATTAGTGCAACTATCGATCAACATAAGGCATCGGTTAATTTTCATATAATTCTATTAAATTGTGAGCTTTTAGACTTAGAATATATTTTTACTTCATTAAAGTTGCTTTCACAAGTATTGAATACTAAATATTATTCGTATGCAAATATTTACTTCGAATGAAGCAAAAAATATTTAAAACATACTATAAACCATAATTTTTATATTTTTATAATTCTCTAAGAAATTTGAATGTTTAATATTCATTTAAATATCGTACTTCATAGTTGGAAAAGAATTACAAAAACGCATCTAGTTTTGGTAAGTGAAAAAAATTCTTTACCCAATATAAAGTCTTAATGCTAATGGTCTTTGGTAATTCTATTAATATTAGACACGATTTATTCGTAAAATAAATATTATAAGCCACGATTACTATCATTCATATATCAGTTCCTGAATGCTGAATTTTTCAAGGAGAGTGAGAAATTTACAGTGGAAATCAAGAAATGTACTCATTAAACTATTAATAAGCCTCAAGAAGAAAACAGCATTCGACTTATCATTATACGTAGTGTTTCATGAAGCTAACTGGATTAACAATATTATAGTTATTGGCTTAATTACTATCAATTTGGAATTATTTCGATGATGTTTTTTATATTAAACAATTGTTTTATTAAAAAAAAAAAAAAAAGAAAAAAGAAAAAAAAAATATGATTAACCTAATAATTTATTGTATACATAAAATGAGTTGAAAAATTATACAGATGATCTTTACAAAAATTTTCTTCTATTTCATCGGAAACAATTGAATTTAGCTTTTTTCATTTAACTGTGTACAAATTAAAAAGAAATAGTGCAATTCTTTTGTCATATCGAATAATTTTTTGATAAACGACTTTGAGTTATTGTGCTATGGGAGAATTATTTTGATTATTAAGCTGACAATCATAATCAGCAAATTTACCAAAATTTGATTAAAATGATTCAGAGTATTAATTATTTTTATTGTTAATAATGTATTATTAATAATGTTGGACTGTTAACATTAAAATTTTTATAAATTTAAAAACTACTTTATTAATGAAGTATACTATTAATTATTTATATTACAATTATTTTTAATTAATTTGTTATTTCATTTATTTCATGAAATTATGAAAGGAATTTAATGAACCTTTTCTATAAGAATAGGAAACTTATTTAATTAATTTAATTTAACATTATTTCATTTTATTATTTAATAGTATTCCTTCGCTATTAAGTTCTTAGAAGTTTTCTTACGTAACTTTTGAATCATTAAATGTTGGTAGCATAATTTTAATTTTTTAATATTGTATATATGCAATAATTTTATTGTTAATAAACATAAAGATTTCATCATGTTTATAACCTCAGTAAAAGTAATAATTGACAATTCACGTATAAGTTTACAATAAATAAGAGACTAGAGACAACTAGGTATACTGTATGTTACTAATAATTTTTTTGATAATAATAAATTTTTTTTTAATTTCGAATTATGTTGATGAAATATGAGAAAAAAAATATGAAGAATGAAATCCATTGATTAAATAATTCTTCATTTGCTAATCATTTAATATATTTATGAAATAGCCTTGGATCAAATTGATATTATTTAAATTTCAATTATTATTTCACAAATTA